GTGAACTCTCATCGTAGGATTTATTCCCTATATACAATATGCAAGGAGAGTGATCTTGTATTTCGCTTGGAGACCCGAAGCTTTATACACGGTGAGAAAATCAAAGAGAAAGATACTTTTGGCCTTTGCTGCTGTCATCTAATTAAGCTTGTTTTGAAAACTTTCGTGCAGACGGTTACATCAACTTTAGAATCTTTGCTTTCAGATTGATAGTAAATCTACATGTGTTTACCTATAGTTTTATGGTTGTTCAAGTGGGAATAATATCAGCTTACCTCTTGTTACTTCTGTGGTCTGTTTCCTTTTTCTGAGCAAAGCCGTGTTTTAATAGCTAAGGAAAATGCTCTCAATTTCATTTTAATAAGTTGTGGGAGGAGATAAGTTAGAGAATTAAAGAGGACGCATCGATTCATCGATTCTATATATTATATATATAATACAAAACAGAACAGAACAGGAATGATGAAAAATATAGCCAAACTGGCCTAGCTGTTACAATTCAAACTAATCATGACGGTGTCAGAGCGACTGCGATCATGTTGCATGGGGTCCATTGCGGCTAGCTCATCATTGCGATCTCCGGTCATCGCAGAGAAGAAAGCCTCAGAAATTTCATCGGCCGCCCTTCGAGTCTAAGAGTTTGCTCTGATATTATTTCCAAGGCGTTGAGTGGAAGGCCACACTAGTCAAAACAGGCGAGTTCTACGGTGCTGTCATCCCAAGCAATCTTCATGTTCCTGTGAATTCGGCTGTCGTTCATTCATAAAACATACGCCTTGAGCAGTTTGTTTTCGAATTGTCCTGTGAAAAAACTCGTTGAACCTTGTTGATTTATGAATTTTGATGGTTTGACATTTTTGACAGCTTCAGTCTTGTTTAACCAATCAGATTATTTGAACCATTTTAAAAAGGATTCTGATTGGCTTATTGTAGCGTGCTTAATAAGAGTACAAAGAATGCTGACCACACTGTTGTCCGCTTTTTTGACAATTGAAAGTTATGCGTGAGCAATTTAACGGATTCTTCATTACAAAACAAAAAAAACCGTCTTGACTGTGCTTTGTTCTGTTGTAAAGCATTTTTTAAGCAGCTAGAGTGCTCAAGAAGTGGGGAAAAACACTCGACCACGTCTCGTGTTTCTCCTTACTCTTCTTTCGTGCTCTAGCCGCTTCCTCCGTGCTTTACAACAGAAGAGAGTTGAGTCAAGGCCTCTCTATTTGTTAAATAGCAATAGAAATGTAATGGTGAAATATGTTTTGCAGAAGAAGATCCGAGGCTTTCACATCTTGAGCTGGAAATATCGCGAAGAACTATCACAATGATATCACACGGTGCGATTGTTGTGCTTGTTTTAACAGAATTTCTGCCTCCAGTACAGGCTTTCAGATCATGCTAGGAAGAAAGGCATATCGCCTCTATGAAACCAATCAATATGGTTTCTGAACCTGTTTTACCATAAGTCAGGAATACTCGGTGTTAAAGCTGGCAGCAGTTTGATTTAACCTCAAAGGTCAGTTTAGTTTTTATACCGCTGCTTAATCATTGTAGTCAGTTCATTGTCTTAAATATATGTTGCTATTTTTTTTGGCAACTGGAAGTTTCGTTCCATTGCAAGTTCGCCCCTAACTAGCGCCGCAAGTTGGCCTGCAGTTAAAGCGAGTTCGCTCCGACATCTACCATTTCGCCCCCAAATCTTTCAACTCATTTTGCTTCGGCAGTACTGATTCCTTTTTTGTCTAAATCATGTCGAACTTTCAACAGAGCGGAACCTTCATAAACGTTGTGCTTTTTTCTCCCTTTGGTTTAGCATTTCGCGCATTCAGGCGACTCAAACTTTTCCCGCTGAACTGAAGCAAATTTGTCACAATAAAATTTGAACTGAAGCGATAATTTTCTATGTGGCTTTGGCCGAAGCAAAGGTCTCTAAGGAATATAAAAGTAAAATACTTTTTCACAGGAATAATTTATGACAAAGATCTCTTGCCTTTTCCGCGATATTCGAGAATACGAAAATGACTTCGTAATCATCGGTGTATTTACGACACCAAGTGTCGCGAGACTATTTTACTGAAACAGAGCGACCATCAGTTATCACGGATGAAAATCTTCTCCCCCAGAATGCAGAAGAACTTTCATCATCATCATTATCATCATCGTCAGGTCAAGCTGACTCGGTATTCCATGACACGCTCCTTCCACATTTCTCTGTAATCCATTGCAATTGGTAGTTCATCAAGTCTGCATCCTGTGTCATCCATCAATTGGCCAATTTATGTTGGTTACAGAGTAAAACATCCCCTGCTAGTTCTTTTTTACTGCGCCATCAATGCACGGGGAATCTCATCCTTTGTTGCTGTGGTGATTTACTGATTGGCGGGATGTGGCAGTAGAGCTCTTCATTTGTGGGGTGGTTCTTCCACGATCTGTTTAAGGCAGTGCGTAGCATTCTAGTGTATGCTCCTTCTATTTTCTTTTCCAGATGTGTTGTTAAGGCCCAGGAGACTGAACCGTAAAAAAGGACGGTCTCCACTGCTGCTCGAAAGAAGTTTCTTTTCAGGATGTCTGGAAGGTTCGATTACCATATCTTGTCCAGTTCATTTAGAGCATCCCACACCTTTCCTAGTCTGATGTTAACATCATGTTCGGTAGAGGCGATGTAGCTTCCACTTGCTTTATCTTCTCACCATTGAAACTCTCCATCCCTTCTGATGCATCTTGATTGAAGTAGATGAACTCTGTTTTATCTGCATTGAGGTAGAGCCCTATCTTTTTTGCTGTTCTTTCAATACTGTGCAGCAGGAATGTTGTCAGCATTGTCTGCATCTGTTATTTTCATAGCTGGGTAGCGTTTGCTCTTCCGCTTTGCGAGGGTAAAGCCAAGTTCATTGTTCTTGTCTAGAGCTTTACGCAGTACATAGTCAAGACATATAAGGAATATGTATGAGGCTAGCGTATCACCGAGGAGGAATTCATCACTGATATCGAAGAAGTCTGTGTCTCCATCAGGGGAGCGAACCATAGAGCGGGTGTCCTGATATAGTATCATCTTCATTTTCCCTTTCCTTTATCCGTGTGAAAGCGGGAGTGTCGAACTCGAGACTGCCTGAGGTAAGAAAAAACAAACGGATAAGGGTAAGTGAGTGGGGAATTAAAAAATGATAAGCTTTGAACTTAAGCGAGAATTTCGTATGCGGCTATATAAGCTACTAGGAATATGTAAATGTATTTACATATTTAGTTAGACAGTTACTTTTTCATTATTAATGCAGGAATGAGAAAGTTTGAGATCTATAGTTGAAGAAGCGTCGGTGCGACAACAGATACTACTGCACTAATCCTTGTCTCAGTGGAGGGGTGTGTCCGGAGATTTGCAACACTCAATGCACCAGGTTTAGCTGTACCTGTCTTGACACATCCTCTGGTCAGAGGTGTGAGAAGATTAAACATAGAGTGATAGAATGGACATGCTATGATGAAGTTTGAATATCAAATATGAATTAATTTTTCGCACTTTGTCATCTCTGGCTGATCCTGTTACTCTTTTTAGTCTAATCAAATTGTTGTTTACGAACCAATTTTTATTGCAGCATTGTCCGTTAAAAGTTTTTCCGGAAACAGATTTTGGTTTTAATTGCTGATCATAGATTCCACAGAACACTACCTTGATGGTTGTCTCGTAAACATGGACTAAATTTAAAATACGCTCCTTCAGAGACGTTAAAAACCTTCTGATGATGCTATACAATAGGTACAAGAAACTTGACTTAGGCCTTTACTACACTCGGTCTTCTTACAATTTACATCGAGTCCCTGATATAGCAAAGCTTTTATGTACATATTTACCTCTTAAGAGAGAGACTAAGTTTCTCACTGCACTTAGCAAATTCAATTTCGATGGAGTTCTCCGTACTGTGTTGATTATTTATTGTGAAATCAATAAACCTAAACTCAAATTAAAATAACGAAGCTGACACTTATTTTCAATCATAAGTTAAGAGAATTCGTTTAATAGGACGAATTAAAAAATAGAAAAGCCCTGCCGAGGTATGGATGCCGTTTTAAAGATGTCATACAACGCTGAATAGTACACTTTCCGGGAAAGGTTCACGTTATCGTGAGTGTATCACAAATCCCCTGACACACCCTTCTGTTGAAGCAAGGGTCGGGCCCCATCAAATTCATTTGGAAGGTACCTATAATCCCAGTCATACTTGCGACGAGAACATCTTTCTTGATTAAGTTGAAAAAAATTAAAAATTCCTTTCATCGCTTCAGCTTTTCTTGCCTTTAAAAAAATTGACTCGTTCTTATTAACACCACCTTGCACTCGAAATCATGTTGTGTTACCTATACCAAGAAACTTAAAATTTTAATCAGGTAAAGCTTTATATTCATAATTACCACTTAAGAGAAATACTCATGATCACGTTACGAGACTTTCAAAATTCATGGCACATCGCTTTGGTCCCCCTGAACACTATTTTAAACTATCGTTGGATCCTAAAAAAATTATTTAAACTTAGCATTAGTCGGTTGCTCGAAAATAATTTGGATAAATAAACTGATGGCGTGCTCAAAGAGAGTTTTCTAAGCCGGATAAATTCGAAAAAGGAAAGTTTCATCGAGCTTTCGACGTTTCAAATTTACATGTATTATCAGAGAAATATCAATTGAGAAAACTGAAAGTTTCGTGGAGATTAAAGTACGTCCTAATAGACGCCTTAAAACGAAAAATTCATAGTTTATAACAGGGACACAACATGTCTAAGGTTGCAGATAACATTGCTCTCGTGTATATCTATATTCCTCACTGATAAAGAGCCAGTGCAAATATCTGAATTATTATTAGAGGCTTTTAGTTCAAGTTCAACTCTATAAGTGGACTCGACTTGTAGCCGGTTGCAAGATGTCATTGTTTGTTCTTAGCGTTGCTTCAATGGGTCCTTGTACGTCGTGGGCCAGTTTGCCTTTTCTGAAAAAGAAAATGAATCCACAGAAAGTCACACGTCATATTTAGCTCCAAACCAGTGTTGTGTTGTAGAAGTATTTGATGACGTGCAGCGGTGAGTCGGATTCATTTTGTCACTCCCATACTCTCCGAAATTGTATTCGCTGTTTATTCCACCTGGGGTTCCATCAAACTCACATCCTTTTTCTTTGCTTCTGTAACTCCTTATGGTCCAAGACGTAGTTGATTTCTGTCTTGTCAGGGCGGTGCAATTAGAACAATTGATTCCTCGGATGTTAACATATTCATACATCTGACAACTGATCCAGTTACCAAAAATGTTATGACCTGACAGTTTTGCGCGTGCGTAGTCCGTGTACTGCAGACCATCTGTAGGAAAGTTACAAGTTGCTCTCAGATGTGTGGAATGATCAGCAAGAGACTGCATCTGTGATAATGATAGTCGGTACCCGTTCCAATCCGCTTTTTTTTTGTCATTATTAATCTCAAAATTTACGCCAAATGGTTTACCCTCAAAGGTACCTTTTTTAGCCAAGGAAAACGACTGTATCAGTGTCCATACAAAACTTGGTTCAGACTGCAAGTCACAGTAAACCGAAAACGGATCATTTTTTGAATCAAAGATGTCGTATTCTCCTGATTTCGAGGCACCGTACTTAGCGATGTCCTCACAACTCGTTGGCTTTGTCCTCTCACACCGCTGACCAGTATATTTGTCAGGACAGCCACATGAAAATCGGACGCCGTGAGTGTCACATATCTCCTGACATACCCCTTCATTGAGACAAGGATTGGGTCTGCAGCATCTGTTGATGCAGCGATGCTTCCCTGAGATGTCTTTGCGTCCACCCTACAACAAAATTTAACCTTTAATTAGCTTACTGTTCTTTCGATGCCTTTTATTATGGAAGCCCATTGAATTTAGTTAACGCACGAACACGAGCAATCTGCATGAAGGAAGGATGAGTGAAAAGGTAAATGTCAGCTGTTTTTAAGGCCAGAAAATTGCGTAGGTTTAACTTGTGTTAAGGATTTTCAAAAATTCTGAAATTGTACGGTTTTAAAATTAAAATTTGCTTGAATTGTTGTTTATTAGAATTTACGACCAGAAAATTGCTTAGCTTTGAGTTTAAATTCTGAAAATTGTACGATTTTAAAACAGAATCTTCTAGTGACCAAAACTTTTGGTACATAGCAAAGCTTCAAAATAAGATTTTCCTCTCTGATTAAGAGTTCCCAGCGTCGCAAAGCCTCACTTGAAGTCAGAAAACTAAGTTCTGTTTTAAGCCATAATCCTCATCACGTTTGTGAATAAAGTAATTTCGTCGCTTGAAGATCTACATGCTCGTTGTTTTTCGAAACGAGTCTTATTCAGCATATTTTGTTTCTATTTTGAGCTACAAAGGTCTATCTCAGTCGGGATAGAACGGAAAAACAATATTTAGTGATAGTTTTGAATACTCTCGGCTAAACTCGACGGGACTTTTACCCGAAGTGAAACTGCACACGCCATGTTATGGATGCACGGATGTCCACTACATAAGGATTTTATCATGGTAGCTCCCTTAGGATATAGGTAGGCCTTGCGCGCGCGCTATGTTATGATAAAATGTAAGTAACTAAAAAAATAAATGCTAGCACAATTCTATCAACAACTCACGATTCTATCTCTCACCTTCACCGTGTAGCTTCTCACCAAATCATAATAATTTCCTCCTTGACTCCATTTCATCGCCGCTGGCTCCATGTCTTTGTTAGCGTCGTTGAGCTCACAGTTATTTTCTTTGGTTAGAGGGAAATAATTCATGGATACACACAGGCAGTCATCTTTGCACTTCATGTGACACTGGATGGCGCTGTGGACTGTCAATCTTTGAAACACGTGACCCTCAAGAATGTGATTATAGACGACATCCTCGTCGATAACAAACTTGAATTTTTGACAATTTACTGTTGGCTGCGCCTCTTTGGTGTGAGTGAGCTGAGATACCAACAACATCGCATGTAGATAGCGAAGAACACTCATGGTGGACCTTAAAAACTTTCAAATAAGATGGATATCTTAGTTCCATAATTATACTAAGGCATGTAAAATTTAGTTAGTAGCAATCAGAGTACGTCTATGCAGAGGAAAGGTAAAAAAATTATGAATAGGTACGTGATCATACTATGGTGAAACGCGGTGTAAACGCCGTTCGAGACGTCCGGCCTCAGGTGACGATAAAGATCTTAATCAGGGCCTTAAAGTTTTCTCTTCTTTTGACGCGGACGTGATTACGTAATGCTTATTGGGAAATGGACCATTGTTTTCTGGGGTCGAATATCTCGATGACAGATTGAGAAGCTGACATAAAAAATTGGCTGAGATTGAAATGAGAATCTGAGGTACATTGTGCATGGCGCACTAGACATGACTAGATATTTTATGCTGTGTTGATAGTGGAAAAAAGTAACTTAAAACTTATCGAATAAGTCATGCCGCATGAGTTTGTCAATCAACTGAGTAGAAACAAATTACACGTTGTCTCTTCTCTTTAGTAGTTCAGTAACAAACTTTTGGTTTTAAATGAGTACCATCTCTCTGCACTTACCTTAAAATGTCGATTCATTTTATGGCTTCAGTAAAATCCTTCGAGAAAGGTTTGCGAGCGAACAGATGTAGTTGAAACTATATGTATGTCCGGCAATATCGATGCACCTTTATATTTGAAAAATAGAAAAAAAGCACGAGAGTGAATCAATTTAGATCATGGGTTCTGTGGTAGACGTTACCAAGAAGACACCCGAAATAAACAATTGATATGATATTGCGATACTGTTGACATGGAATTAAATAGAGAGTATTTCACAACTAAAAATTTGCATCAAATAACTGAAATCCGTCACACAGCGGTGATCACAGGAGAGATTATTCAGTTTATTTACAAAGATTTTCTTCTTACGAAAATTGGGTTATATTATTGATATAAAACGTGCGATAAACAAACAGAAACTTTTCGCAAATACCAGATGCTTCAAATGTGTGCGAAAACTCTAACACAGATGACATGCAAAAAAACACGAAAGTTTTCTGTCAACTTTTTTTCCAGCCATTTTGTCGCAAGGGTTGCCTAAAATATATCGAATTTTTAAGATAGGAAGTCATGTGATGTAAGAATGTTTTCAAGCTGGCAAATGCGTCATGAACGATGTCTTTCATATGAAAGAAAATGATCCTCGCGCTTAGCATTTTCTGTAAAATCACTTTACTAATTTGGTAGATAAACCGTGATATTATTTTCATCTTAGAATTTATCCCTTTTATAATATACCTTGGGTGTACTTGTATTTGGTTTGGTGACCTGAAGCTTTCTACTCCGCCCTTGTTGAATTCTTACGAAAGTATTCCTACATATATTGGTCATTCGGCTGACATTGGATGTTTAAACGCAAACAGTTTTATTAACGTTTTTACCTGGATTAAAAGCAGATTTTATCTTGTTGAGCTGGCTGACCAAATAGGAATTATCTCAACTTACCTCCTCTTTCCGGTCTCCTCTGACTTTTCAAATTTTGGCTTTGCTCCTCGATATGAGGTAAAGACTTTCACCTTTTGAACATTGAATACAATTAACCTTCACAATAAGAAACGGAAGAGGGCAGAAACAAAGAATGGAGGTCGCCATCACCAAAATAAAGATACTTACAGCTGGGTGCCAAAACTTATTGTCCCACAATTATAAGGAAAAAATTTGACCACAATATTTTCGTAAGTTTCCCAAGAGTACTTAAATGCGATTCAGTTGAATAGGGGTTTTTCTTTCTTTTCTTTTAACTCTCCACAAAAGGGTCTTAATAGCTAAAAAACCAGAAAAAGAGTTATACCTTCTTTCTTACCGTCCTGGGGGGATATACGTCGCAATGTGTCTTTTAATTATTTTTGACGTATAGTGATCACAAACAAAACAATTAATTTCACAACAAGAAGCGGTAGAGACCAGAGACAGACAAAGGAGATCGCTAATACCCTTCTAATCTTTAAATTCGGAAAAACAAATACTTACAGCTGGGTGTCAAAACCCGTTGTCTCGCTATTGAAAGGGATGAAATAAACATTTGTTTTGTACGTTTCCACAGAGGAATTGATTTTGCTACTGTTAAATAGCATTGAATGAGGCAATTGAAAAATTAACATGAATTATCAATGATGGTCGATCCGGCTCCAGCTCTTTATTTCCAGCTGAGCACTGATAAACGGGCTCACAAATAAAATTTCTTAACTTTAAAATTTAAATTTAAATTCGTTAACTTTAAGAAGTAATACTGATCTTTATGCTCCTATAACCATCACTCTTCTAACGTTTGGCCAAAAGAAACAAAAGACTGCTTCGAAGGCTGACTGACATTAGAATTTCGAACTTAAGCGAGGAGGTGCAAAGTGAGGCTTTGCTCATACCGAGGCTTTGTGGAATTGAAAAAAAAAACATTTTTTTTAAGCTAACAATGAAGTATGACGCAGTTCTCCCAACTATTTTATGAAAATTAAGCAACAGAATCTTTAAGAAAACCGTATGACGTGCAGTTATGTCTGTTTGTTTCTCAATTGAAGTTTCCAGAATTTTTGCGATTAATTGAAAACTGAGCACAATGAAGTTGAGTGAGATTCCACTTAAGCAAATAGCCATCAAGATGGTGATTCCTTCGTAGCCTTCACAAGTTGTCCAATTAATAAAGAATTTTAACGGAGAGTATCGAGAGTCGTCTTAATATACTCCATGTTTAGATTTAAACGCGGGGATTGTTAAGTCCGTGTCACTCATTGTTATATAGTTGTAACTCTAAATAAGCAAATATAAAGCTTCCCAGGAAATCAGACTCTAAATAATCGAAAAAAGGATATATTGGTACATTTCCGGCAGCTGATTACAAGAAGCGAATAGCTGATGAGGTTGAAAATTACCTAAAAGATTTTTGAATCTAAAGCATCACGACTTCGAAACTATGAATTATAGGTATTTACAGTTATGGTGTGGGTCGATAAGTAGCAGGTGATGTGAAATTTTCCTAATTTTTAAAATGCAAATTGAAAAAATATAAAATTCTTTCCTTTCATTGCAGTGACAAAAATATGTGTTATTTTAGTATCAGTATCATTAAGCCTAACTCCAAGCTAGACTACACGATGCATAACATAAAATTCTTAAATTCTATGATGTTCTTGTGCGTGTTTATCAAGGTTTGTCGATGACTAGCGACTAGCTATTTATAGCTTTTAAAGGACCTCGATCTCATAACTGTTTATTCCCATAACGGCTACAACTCTGGGGGAAGATCCTGCCTTTCTGAGAAAACATAATCTATTTCATATTTTTTACAGGTTGATTTAAGAAGATAAAGTTCACGAGTTTTTAAACTTTCCCCTTGGTATTAATTTTAAGTTTATTAGAGTTCCGGCTCCCTCCTGGGCTTTTATAATTCTGACCGTTTATTTAAAGTGTCGTAAATGTAAAAATGTGGCTAAACGAAGATGTTATTTCTTTCAGTAGTCATGTTATGTACTTCGTCATAAGGTTTTAGAATTGTTTAGATTTGTGTGAATCGTTTTTTGCCGCACAATTATTTTGCAGATATATTACAATGCAGTCAAACCATCAATTGTTAAGAGACGTTTTCAAAATAAAGCATAATAAGAGGATTTAAATTTGATGGAAGACCAGGTGGAGTCAACTACTAAAACAATTTCGGAGAGTATGGGGGTGCGGGGTGCGGGGTGCGGGGTGCGGGGTGCGGAGTGATACCTTATCTTTTATTGCTGAAAGTTTAGATAACGTTTTTGCTGCACTTAACATTATGGTTGACAAAGTACCTGCCTGTAAAGACTTTGCAAGAGATTTTTTTCAAGACAATAATTCCAAGTTTAGCTTACTGTATTTTAATTTGGGTAAACTACTCTAAAGTCCTTTTCTTCTTCTCTAGAATCGACACATTCGAGTGCAGCAAGAATTATTTACAACCTTGACTCGTTTATTTCTGATGCTGATTGCCTTTTGAATTCTCACTGGCCTCTGTTTCTTATTATGTACTCAAACACACACTTTCCTCCAATGTTTCTTGAAATTAGCAATCTTCCAATGTAGCTCTCTGTCACAGTTTAGCTTTCTACTCAGTCGGTCAGTCCCGACAACAACTACTACTACACTTCTACACGAATGAATTTTTATATACATTCACAAAGTACTCTGGAACATTCCAGAAGCTTACTAAAAAACTATTTTAGTAGTATGTCGTAATAACTGTGTGACTTGATTAAATGTTCTAGAAAGTTCTATGGTACGCATGTCAGCAGACTAAACAGTCTGGAGATTTTATAGAAGCTTTTATTTACAACAATAATTACTCAACAGTATTTGCATATTTATTCTTTTATTTACACTTCTTTTAACGTACGCTAAATGTCACGACTTACGCAGAGTCTAGAAACTGGGGAGCATGGTGCATTTCAAAAACCTTAGTTTTAAAAAGTTGATTATTTTACTGCTCTTTTAAGCAATTTTCAAAATTTGCTCAGTAATAAAATTTGATAATACCTTGTAACTCGCGAGTCTTATAACTTCAATTACAAATTGCAAGGTTACTACTGTAAGAGGTTTAAACTGCAAGAGATTTGAAACGGAATATTCTTCAACCACGAATTGTGCACTATATGGTGACATATTAAGTCTGAAAGCTTTTCTTTCTGATTCGGTTACCGTATACACAATTTATCTTTCAATTTACTAACCATCGAAACATTAACAAATACTTATAACTGGAATGAAAAGCTTTTTAAAAGCTACGGCGGTTATGGTTATAACCAACAAAATGGCAGTAGAAATTATATAATACAAAGAGCGATATGAAGATCATGTAACTGCATAGCATGTTGCCTTTGAAAGGTTTACTTCGCATTCTGTCACCGTATACCACAATTTAATCTTTCAAAGTAATTATCATCAAAACGCTAATAAATCATAATAACTGGAATGAAGCGATATTGTTAAAACCAAT